TTCAATAAAATTATAGGATCAATATTCGCATTTGTTAAATTGATATTTATTGAGATTTTTTATTGAAAATTTTTTGAACAAATCTAAATTTAAGAACTCATAACTAAGTAAAAAAATCATTGATTTTCTGCCGGAGATAGCTAGAAAGATTCGACTAATGATGCTGATTAAGAATATATATATAGGTGATAGGATCGGAAATGACTTCTTCACAAAGTTTCAAGTATTTGACTAATATTATAATACCCTTCAGGTTATAGTGAAGTAAGCTCAAGGAGAAATTTGTCCGGCGCCCTCATATCTTTGAAATCTATGAATAACACCCGTTGCGAATTCGAATTTACCATCTTCAGCTTGGCGTGGCTGCTGTCTTCTTAATTCTTTTTGTCCCCAGAGATTTCTATTTGGGGAAAGAGTGATCTCATCATTTGACTATTCCACGGACTTTTAGCTGGGCCCTGTCAGCTCGGCTCAAAAGAATTTTCCCAGCCTCGGGAAAAGCGCTTAACCGTTGGAAAACATCTATTGAAACGCAGTTTCATTTCCAAAGTCAACCAACAACAAAAAATTCAGTTAAAAACCGCTGAAGCGGCGCCCCAAATAATCAATTCCAGGCATTTGCATAAACAAAACCGACAAAATACATAGAAAAAATGGACACAATCAGAGAATGCGAAATGGGGAGAAAATCTCATCAAATTCGGTAGCTAGTGGTGGCGCATGCGCAGAACCCAAAGAACGAATTGAATTTCGGGCTTTTGGCTTTGAAATGAACCAAACTCTAGCTCGGAGGCACGGTGATGTCATCATAAAATGACATGGGTTGCGGGTGTATATATACTATATTGTACAGCCCCTCCGGGGGGGCGTGACCAAATGCCAAAAGATAATAATAAAGGCAATGAGCTCGAGGAGTAGACAAGCGGGGGGAGCTTGAAAAGGGTAAAGTGAGCTCAACATTGACTAATTTTTGCAAATAACTCTTGTGGCACATCATAGAGTCCAACACGTACGTACGATCCAAGCCAAAGCTCTATAAACAATTTCGATTTCAACAAAAGCCAAAGGCAATGAAGACGCAGACAAGCCAAACGAAGTATGTAATATTTCTTTGGCTTTTGTGTATCGTCTCTATACACATATGCGAGACAATAATCAGGCAAAATGTTTGGTAATCATTTTTAAAGAGCGCCCCAAATTGAAGCTACACCCATGAGTCCAGATTTGAAGAGGGTTATACGTTTTTTCGAATGAAAAATGTTAATTAATTGACTTTGAGATACATACATAAATCTATGATTTTTCTCCGACTTTAGACTTAAGAATATAGCAACGCCCTAATATCATTTCCAGTTTTGAACTATTGTCTCTTAACTTAGGCCCAAGTTTGTCGCTTTTTCTTATCGCTTCCATTTTTTGCTGTTTCTCTTTAAAATCGTTTGTAGCTCTCTTTTTTTGGGATTTTGAAAATTGTTTAACATGCCAGGCACAACAAAAGAATTTATAACATTTGTTTTTGTTATTCTACTTCGTATATGTATTCTTCTCTTTTTGACAGACTGAATTTTTAATTTTTTTTAGCCGGCTGATGAGGTAATTTTATGCATAGAAATTTTTTAACAACAAAGCCACAAATTCCCTAATTTGCCGGGCGCTTCCACACAGTTCTCATTATTTTCGGAGACAAATATCAAAGAGAGATGACAGGGAAATAGGGTTTTTATCAGTCATATTTAATCGCGCACACAATTGTAATTAAAACAGGTAACGACTTGGGATGCTATCTAAATTGGCAAGTTTGCTAAAAGCTAAAATTTAAGAGCCTTACTGATATACTTTAAAGTATCATTAAATTCTAGTTTCGCGGCAGCGATGGCAAGCGTATAATATGTGAGACTTTTTGCATAATTCCCATAAAAATTAAGTATACAAACGCGCTAAATGTTTATTGATTTATGCAAATTTTTACACGATTTCTTAGGTAGGTTATTGCCATGTTCATTAGCTAACCGGGGTATATGGAACACTCGAAGATTAAGATCTGATCAAGAGCCTAGGAGAACCCCGAAAGAAAAATTTAGAAATCATGTTTTAGAGTGTTTTGCGATGAGTGAGAAGTGTGACTCGGGTTGTTTAAAATTAGAAAAGAGGAGCACTGAGTCTGTGTACGTTCCTGCTCCCAGCTGCCGCGCATGTGCTCTGGGATTTTATATGTTTATTTCGGTAAACAGGATGTTTGGAATTCGACCCTCAGCCAGTACTACTAGAACAGTTTGTCCCTGACTTTGCCTTCCTTTTTTCCGGCAACTTGGGGTTACATAAATAGTTTATGGGCAAAGACAGCTGCGCAGGATGAGGTATAAATGAGCTAACACTTGGTGTGATATTTTCTGTAAAGGAATTGAGCAGCGATTTTGATACCCAGGTATTCTAATCCTAAGATTTGTTCGATATCTAAGAAGATATAACAGCAGCTAGGTAGAGCTTGGTGTTATATATATTTTTATATATATTTCAAGTGGTACAATTTCTCCTCCAGAAAGCTAACTTCCTTTCTGGCATTAACAGATCAAATAATTTCAATTGTTTTTTCCTGTAAAGCCTAAAGTTATGCCTTGGTTCAACTCGAACCCTTTTCCGTTCTGTTTGGAGTTCAGAGAGGCCTGATAAGACCATACCTACCTTATCGCGGCATGGTAAAGTTTATTGTCACGCTGTTCCAGTTGTTGTTGCCATTTTTTGTTGTGTTTTTTTTTATTGTTTAGTTTTCACCTCTTTTAATTGATTTTGTATTTGTCCAAGCGAAGTGTTCTGTTTGCCAACTGGCGGCAAATGCCTTCCAGGTGACCTCAGCTCTAGCGGCACACCATAGTATATATATATAAATGATCTATTAACAGCAATATGACACTAGGTTTTGGATTTTCGAGATTAAAACTCTTTCAAATGATGTCAGAGAGAGAAAGAAGGGGGGAAAACAGAAGAATGATCAAATTTGGCTTTTATTTAATGGCCTATTCATTAGTCTTTTGGCTCTTGACAGGGTCCCATAAATAACTCGTTATTGAAGTGCATTCCCCGCTATAAATACCAACTCCTCCTATCTGCCAACATATGTCCGAGGTATGTGGATTTATCGGCTGATAAGATATTGGCTCCAGGGTCTCTCTGGGCTTAATATTTGCCAGAGGATTTGCCAGATCCGACCAGGAGAAGGAGAAGAAGCAACTGCCCCAGGTGCTATCAGTTAAAATTTAATGCTAGACGCGATAAATGGAATTCACCATAGCTCGCTCAGTTGAAGTTTTTGGCTTGGCCTTTAATTCATCTGATAAACACACTCAAAAGGGGGAGGAAGCTTTCCCCCACTCTGGACAGAGTAAATTGGTTGGTGGTTTCAGTGACCAAACGGCGTGTGCTCCGGCAGTAACTCTGGCTCCGAATAGAATACGATCGAAAACGAATACGATATCTTTAAGGAATATAAATTTGGCTAAATGTTTCGCTAGCACTTGGTGCTGCAAACGAACACTTTTTGTGGAAACCCCTCGAAATTTCCAGTGATCAAAAACCATGGGAGTACAACAACACCATCAGGCGCTCCAATTTTACGCGCAATGAATATCGAAGATATATATCATACGAGCGACAGTCTTTGGGTAAGGAGAGTGCCATAGGAAAGGGTGTCTACCATGGAGGTCAGGGACACCCACACCACTTGAACTTGAACTTTTACCTAGAAGCACTCCCTGGGGATCATTATACAATTCGATTGGTCCCAGTGAAAGTATAACCTGCTCTTATCTGACAATTTTGGGTGGAACTTGACGTATATATATATATATATTTTTTTTTTTGCCATACGATGATAAGCCCCCGCAAATATTTGACAAATGAGTCGCGACTGCCTGGAATAATGGTTTCAGTCGGTCGGTGCCAAAAATCAGTCAAGAGTTTCGCTTTCTGCAGTTTCCGCTCTCTGGTTTCCCGGAACCTTTTTTGGCATTCTTTCGTGCCCAGTAGTTACGTAAAACGAATCGTTGATAAAAAGTAACAAAGCTGTGAACCATTTTTTTCATGGGTATGAAGTAATTTCGTCTTTTGACTGATAAGAACCAAGGCAGTATCATTTTGTGGCGACTATTTTGGCTACCTGATACGCTTGCATTGGGGGTATATGAACTTATAGACATAGTTTGGTGATTTTAATTGGCATAGTTTTTATTTAATTTTTTTCTTTTTTGCTTTCTTGATTATAAGTAATACAATGAGAACATATAAAATTGTAAGATTGTAGGAAGATATTTGTGCTTTAGACATATCTGTTTCATTTAATAAATATTTAACACTTTTAAAATGAACAAGAAATCGAATAGAACTTGAAATATTTAACCAACTTTGTGCAATTAAGATCTTAAAGCTAAAAGCCAATTGCCTTATCTTTACTACTACGTGACGAGGTGTTGAAATAGAACCTCTTGGTGTGGGTTTTAGGTTCTCTGTGTTGGAACTTCCCCTAGCTAATCGGCGACATTGCTTTCAAACGCTGATACAATGATTTAAAATTAGGAATTACGCTTGACAGAATGCGTAAACTATAAATGAATCGCCTTGGAATGCGGGACTTAACTTTAGTCAGTGATTTTATATATGTATTTATTTTTTATTTATGTTTTTATTTTTATAGAAGCAATTATGCTGACGATAACCTGTTATCTCTGAATCAATACATTGCGAACGAACGTCACGGGTGTGCTTTCTCTCTCTCCAACTTCCCTCTTGTATACTTTTGCTTTTTTTCATGTATTTTTCCTCTATTTTCCTCTATTTGTGTTGGCCCATGTATTGATTTTGGTTTGGAACTATTGTCAGGTGGCTTACCCGTTTCTCTTCTCTTCCCCTTAGAAACCAAAACAAACACTAAAACTAAACGTTGCACTTGTCAGACTTCGAGCTTGAACTAATCCGAGATTTATTTTGTTCCTCGTCGTGTCATGTAGCATCACAATATGAGCCGGGAGGCTACTCCGCGCTCCAGACGCCGACGCCCTCCAATCGCAACTCCGCCAACATGACGCAGCGGGATGGCATCATCAAGTTCGAGAACGAGCGGATCAAGACGCTGCAGGAGGAGCGTCTCCACATCCAGAAGAAGACATTCACAAAATGGATGAACTCATTTCTCATCAAGGTAGGAAATGTGGATTAATAGATGTATCTGAATACAATTCAAAGACCTTTCATTAATAATGACTCTAAGAGTTAGTTAGTAAAAGTTATTTCAAATCTCACATACTTTAAAAAGATTTTAAATATTTTACTATTAAAAAGACAAAATATACTTTTCTATAAGATATAAATTGGCTTCTACAATCAGTTGCATTATCAACCTAAGAGAATTCAAAAAGAGTGTTAAAATGAAAGCGATATGACGACCGTATTATACATTCACTTTGAATTTTGATAGGAAGAAATTTTTTACAACACCTTACCAAAGAGGTAATATGAATGCAACTCACATATTATTTGGGCTTTTCTTTTAGGCCAAAATGGAGGTCGAAGACCTATTCACAGACCTGGCCGATGGCATCAAGCTGCTGAAGCTGCTGGAGATCATATCGTCGGAGAAACTGGGCAAGCCGAACAGCGGACGAATGCGCGTCCATAAAATCGAAAATGTCAACAAGAGTCTGGCATTCTTGCACACCAAGGTAAGACATGTGTCCAACAGCAAGGAGAGTGGATTGGATTGGATTGGAGTGGAGTGGTGTAGAGTGGAGTGGAGTGGAGTGGAGTCTTGGGAGACTGGAAGGCTAAAAGACAGAAAGACTGGGAGAGTGAGTGGTGGTGGTGAGCTCTACGCATTTGTAGAAAGTGCAAGTCGCGCCTGCGCAGCAGCTGCGCGTGGCCATTGCGTGCTTTGTTTGCCATATGAGCTCTCCTCATGGCTTTACGGAACTGCACTCGAAGAAATTTGGGGATCTAAAAGAGAAAAGTGTGAAAAAAGTGTTAGATTATAAGGTTATTATATAGATTTAGTTAGTTTTGTACTTTTTACAAAGTTAGTAGCTAGTGAATCGGATCCCATTAGATGGTTTTGGTTCTTTCCAAGAATCCTTATAAGTTACTTGTTAGTTTCTTCTACAATAGTTATCTTTCAAGAGGTAATTAGAGTGCGGAGCTTACATTTCTTCCAGTGTGACTTTGGATTTGGGATCTCGGATCTCGGGGAAGTGAAAGACGACGCCAAGACATGGCAAAATATATATTTAATTACCTTACCTGGCCCGGGCCTTCTTCTTCGCGGCTCTTCTCTTGGCAATTTCTGAAATATTTGCATACTTTCTAATGCATTTTTTCTTTCTTATAAGAGTCTTACCTGGCGTGGCACATTTTCCAGCTACAATACTTTCTTTGCAACTCGTCGTGCATTTGATTTTAATTGTGCAAAGTGGCAGCTTAGCGTGCGACATAGTTTCTCGTATCTTCTTCCAGGGGCCGCTGTCCTAATCTAATTAGAAGCAATTAATTCGCCGCAATTTGTCCCATTGCCCATCTCTCTGTTGGCCATTGCATTGCAGTGAAAGTTTTCTTTGTTTTTTGTAGTTGTAGTTTTCAGTTTTACTTTTCACCATTTAATTTTGTATTTTATTCAGTTGTTTTGGGGCTTGTCTCTGTTGCTTGTGTGTTTGACACGGGTATTGAGTGCATTTTAATTGGTTTTGTGGGCTTGAAAGAAGCCCGAACGAAAGATTTACGCACGGGGGAACATTACTAAGAACCCCCGGGGGACTCATTGAAGCATGCCACTAGCCACGACCGAGGCGGGGGAACCCAGTTGGCATAGTTTAAACTACATTTTAATATACCAAAACATTTTCTCAGAAAGTCTTTTAAAATGATATGTTTCTGGGAAGGCATCATAAAAGCAGGAACTCATATTTCCGTTATTATAAGGAGGGTTTTCATATTCCTAAACCCTTGCAGGGTATTATATTTTTAGTAAAATCCATGCAACAAAGTAAAGGAGTCATTGCCGACCCTATAATCCATATATATTCTTGATCAGCAGGAACATGCGAATCGATCTAGGCATGTCTGAAGAAGAAAAATGAAAAAAATGTATCTAAATATAAGGGGATCGTTAATTTCTAAAATTGTTAAAATTTTCAAATTTTAAATTTTATATGCAGACTTGTTAATCTGATCAAAACTAGCATAGCATCATTTTCCGATTGAAAATTAATGCATTTTTGGCTTAACTTGTTACTTGTGATCAATT